GTTTAGTTTAAGTTTCCTCCTGTAGTAACACTGGGTCAATAAGAGATGATCTTTACTGGACCTCTAGGAAGAACAGTTTAGAACTGATAGAACTATCCAGTATAAATAAAGTTAGTTTAGTTTAGGTTTCCTCCTGTAGTAACACTGGGTTAGCCGTTACTGGATCTCCAGGGAGAGCAGTTTAGGGCTGATGGCGTTATTCAGTCTAAACACAGTTGAAAGTGCTTGCTTGTGATCCAGAGATCAATATATGACTGAAACAAGTCCTAGAACCAGTTTGACAGGTTTGAAACCAGACTCAATATTTACTGAAGTACAGAACGTGTCACACCCAACGTCATTTCCTTCCGCTTCGTGCGGGTGGGCAGGAGAGTTTTCGATTGCGGGCAATGAGGCTCAGCTTGTTCCCGCCAGAATATTGGTTATTATCCTACTGTTCTACCAACAAAACTACAGACGGCCTAATCAAATGGCCGGAATCGTTGCATTTGCCAAAAACCACAGAACGCCCTATGGGGAAGTCCAAATTCAGTCATAGATAAGTGCTTTCTAAAGGCGCAGTAAAAACAGCTTCAAGGAACATCTCTGAGCTAATTCAGTTAATTTAAAACAGGAAAAAGCTAGTCTGTAACTTGACTGACTCTATATGGACTGACTTTATCCAGTACCGCGTAGTGAATATTTTTATCAGGTCTAAACTAACTGCTTTGCTCGAGTACAAAAGCCATAGCAATTCTTTATCTAAATTTTTTTACATATAAAATACTATACATTTCCCTTAAGTAAGTGTGGTTGTCCTTATTTGCAGCTGAGAGCCAAGCTGAATTACGAAGGTTTGAAGCTTGAACTGATCGATTCGTAGGTTCTCTATAAGTTATCAGGGAGTTTACGATCTACGACGCGGCCGGCTCAACGACGCAGTCTAAATTTTAGCTCAAGAATGAGCGCTAAGCAATTTGATTACTGTAATAAATATTTGACTCTTTCAAATAACCTTACAAAATGCTACGTTCGGCTAATGCGATGCAATGTTTGCTGTAATTTCAACTTTTAGTAACACCTGTTGTGTCGCATTAGGCTTTCGCGTTGCCTGAAAGACGTAATAATGCTTTTTTAACGTTGTGTTGAGAATGACAACGCAGTTGACAATACTCATGGGACCACAAATTATTGACAGTTTTTGTCTTGCATGACAAATTTCTTTGTAAGTTCTTTGTAGGCTTGCATGGCGATAAAACACATAATAATAGGGGCTTCGGTGGCGAAGTGGTTAGCGCACTTGCCTTTCACCTCTTAAAGGCCGGATTCCACGGGCGCTTTTTCTGCGAAATGCGAAATATTTCGCCTGTTTCTTTTGAATTGTGGGCAATCAAGTAGAAATAATTTATTCGAGTGGTCGCAATTCAAAAGAAACAGGCGAAATATTTCGCATTTCGCCGAGAAAAAGCGCCCGTGGAATCAGGCCTTAAGGCCGCAGGTTCGAATCTCAGTGAGAGCTTCTCAGTGTGACTCGAACCCAGTCCTCATGTGAAAAGAATAAAAGTCAACGCTCTGCCGAAAGTCGTAGGTTTTCTCCGGGCACTCCGTGTTTCCTCCCACAGGGAAAGTTGACAGGGTGGGTTAGGCACATAAGGTCTGGAGGCAGATGAGCAGATCATTAATGAGGTATGGACTAATAGCGGCTGTCAAGCGCCATTTGTAAGCTCAAAGTCTACCTCGGTCTGCTTCACGTCAGTCCCGTTCTATCTATCTATTCATAATGTAACCAGTCACTGAAAAGCCCTGTTAGGGAGTGTGCTGTGAAATATCTGTACCAATAATATTGTTTGTGGAAACATCAAATTTCTTTGTTTTGAAAGCGCGTCCGGTCGAGCCGGCCGCGTCGTAGACCGTAAACTCTCTATTAACGGCGGCCCTGGCAGCTACCTTATGGACTCATGCCTGATCACGAAGCACAGCTGCGGTGGAAGGTTCAGTTATGTTTATCCCAACCCACCCTGTCAACTTTCCCTGTGGGAGGAAACTGGTGCACCCGGAGAAAACCCACGACTTTCGGTAGAGTGTTTACTGACTCATCTCGCATATAAGTATAACATGTCTCCGCATGCGGTGTCGAAAATCCAACTCACTGCCCACTGACGATTGCGCCACCGAAGGTAAAACTGTTTATACCATCGATGATATTCAGAAAATAATTGGATTATCGCTATGTCATGCATATTTTCTGCATGACGTTTTTCGAAACATCTGGAAAAAAATTTTGCGAACTATTCCAAATGAAAATATAAGCTATAGCTATAAGACATAAGTTCTTGCTTAAGAAATTGACTTATTGTACAATATATTAAATACTGAAGACGAAGGATTATACAGTATAGTAGGGGGCTGAAAAATATAACGTGCATAATAAAGTTCAGCGCGTCAGGCACTTTCAAACCCTCGAGTACATTATTATATTGAATATAATACAAATGTGATTATATATGTTCTATATTTTAACTCTACCTTCATTCGTGGTATACAAAGAGCTGTCTGTATTCTTTAAGCTTAAGTTCTATGAACAACGGAACTGCGATATGTTGCCCCAGCAGACAAACGGCGTATATAGTTAATTGTTGCTGCACGACATCTCCAATGTGGCAATACAGGTGGGAACAGCTGTTATATGCCTTGTTGTCAATAACCAATGGTTTTATAACAATGAGTCAGAGAAAACGACAGCATAATGCGCGTCTTAACTTAAGTGCATCAAGAGTTAAATTTATAATATGACCTTTTATGCCTCTATGTAAATTTGGCGCAAGACTGACAAAACATGAAGACATCTTAAAATTAAAACTAAAAACATCAACTTTAATTTCATATATACAAGAAGTCCAAATTTATCAAATGGTTGTATTTCCATGCTATTACAAAATTACGACAGGTAGAGACCATATTATCGTGACCAGTTCTATAGTGTGTTTTATATTTTCTCATAAACTAAATTAAAGACAAAGCTGGGCTTATTAAGTTTATGTAAATTTGGGTCTGATGCATGTTATGCTTGTATTTCCTTATTCGTATATATTCCTCATATTTGTCCAATGTTCAGGCTGCATGCTTAAAGTTAAGGAAGTCGAAAGAGGACAAAAAATGCGGAACAAGGAAGCTATATAGGCTGATCCGTCCCGAACATTCGTAGAAACTGTTCTTTCCGCGTCACTGAGAAATCTTTGTAATCCCTGGTTAATTTTGAGACGTGTGTTCATAACGTCCTGTTTGTGAAGGAAGTTTTGACGCATATCTAATGTTAGCAAAGCGGGTTATTTGGGCGCAAAGTTGACATTTGGAGTTGGCCCAACTTTTGAACGTGAGTAAAATACACCCTGTACAATAACAACCGCTGACCGCGCTGTAATTTCAGAAGAGTCAAACCGACCCCAGACTAACGACTCTTTTGGGGTCGTTTTAACTCTTTTGTGGGGTCGTTTTGACTCTATTGAATTTACAGTGGACTGGCAGCGTTTTAAATTAGTCAATCATATTACTTTATTTTGTTAACATGATTGAATACTCAGGCTTGATCAAAATTAATTCAGTCATTTGAAAATGTAATTATAATGTCTCGCGCTCCTAAGATTGGATCAAGTTCGTGGATTGAACGAAGCCTCATGCTCGGATTTAATCTTTTTATACATAATACACTAAAACGTCATTCTAGACTACATGCCTGTTAATCATTAATAACATCTATAAATCTAGAACTGACGTGGTCCTAGTCTTGAAACTTAGCTGGCATTGTAATTCATCAGCCGAAATACAACATTTTAGAACTGAAAATACGCTGAATGATTATAACTAGAGAATACTTATGATTTATATGTGCTTCAGTTACAGATATAAACTATTATATTTGATGACAATTTCCATCCACAACATCCATCAAATATTATAAAATAACAGGTATATAACGCGTGCTCTGCCTGGTCGAAACCCGTGTTTGGATCAGGCCATCCAAATACGGAAATTTAAAGTGAAAGTTTTTTAAAGTGAAATTTTAACACGGAAAGTTGTTATTTTATAAAACAGTTACTTTATGGTGTCCGTGTTTGGATGGCCTGATCCTAACACTTGGGAATGTTGCTCGAGAAAGCGCGCAAAATCACTCGCCTTCGGCTCGTGTTTCGCGCGCTTTTCTTAACACGCGCAACATTCCCGCGTTTGGATCCGTGTTTGGATCAGGCCATCCAAACACGGAAACCATAAAGTAATAGATTATTCATTTCGAATAAGATGCCACAAAAATTTTGATAAACTGTTATAAACTGGCCGTTGAGAAAGATCGTGGCTCTATTTTTACGACCATTATGAAAAGGGAATTATGGAAACTAGGATTAGGTTTTGCGTGCGGAGCGGAATTTGTCTTTGTTTTGTGATTTCCACTGCATTTGCCACTCTGAATACAAATCAATTTCGTTAAAAATTCACTACGTTTCTTAGTATTGTGTTTACACTATAACGGAGTGGTTTGCCGTAGCGTATTAACTACAGACCACCACGTTTGCACTCCGGATGCAAATCACTGCGCCCACAGTAAATTTGCCGTTGCGTCATAGTATAAACGCGGCCTAATACATTCTTGAAGACAAAGAAGAATTCCGCTCCGCGCCGTCAAAATTCCGCCCATTGGAAAACCGGCTTTAGAGTGTTCGAGGGGTTTAGAGGGTCTTCGGTGGCGCTGTATTCAGAGCAAGCGCCCTTTCACCTCTGAGGTCGTGGGTTTGATTCTCGCTACGGACTCATGTGAAAAAAGTCAGTCAACGCTCTGCCGAAAGTCGTGGGTTTTCTCCGGGTGCTCTGGTTTCCTCCCACAGGGAAAGTTGACAGGATGTGTTAGGATAAACAGTAGTTTGGAAAGTATTAATATCACCATTGTTGTAGAGATAAATAGTCTAAGCTTAATAGGTAATATAAGTTAGCGTCAATACTTGATCACTGAAAATCGGTCACTGAAATGTTCCAATGTGGCTGAATAATCATAATCACAACGAAGACGAAGACGTACTATTCTCCCTCTGCTCATTATCTTGCGTATACTGAGTTTGCTCAACTTGTCTTAATTCTCGTTATATAGATTCGTGTGTCGATGTTTATGAATACTGAATCTAAGCCCTGACCCAGACAAAACAAAACAGCGAGACGTTAAACCTGATTGATTTTTTGGACACGTGAAACCAGATAGTTATTTTTTCAAACTTAATTTCAGTATTTATAAATTAATGTTTCTTTTTATTTTATTGTGAGGTACATATTCGTTATTTTATAGCTTTTCGAGTTAAAGCATTTTCACAATACAACCACGGCTGAAAAAGTTGTGTTCTAATCAATCCACAGATCGATTTCTTATTTATTTATTTTGCTATAAAATACATAGCAATGATTGAAGGTATAGTCCACTGGACATGAGTCCCATGTGAAGACCAACCTGATACGAAACAACAAGTAGGTCGTATACATTAAAAACAAGGACTAGAACATTATTTACATAACTATATATAAAAATTAATAGGTTAGATTATGAGCAACAGTTTAAAGTCGAAAGAACAGCATTTAGAGCAGCTGGAACTTAACAGACGAACTGTTACGAATGATCGGAGAGCCGATTGTTCCATAGAAAGACAATTCGGTTAAAAAAGGAGGTTTTTTCTTTCTTGTTATTGTCATTACTTACGCTGGCATATAGAAAGTTCAAGATTAAGTTCCATGCATATGCCCACACACCGTTATGACTACCGTATCATTTGATAAATCTAGATATCCGTAAATATCATTTCGGAAATTTAAAAGACGGGAATTTCCCCTTGGTAACATAATATGTGCGCGAGTGGGCAGGGTTAATTTACGTGCGTGGGCTATGCTAATTTTTTGTGTGCGTCATAAAAATTATCCTGCACAATGAACTGCTGTTATGCGTTGCAAGCGCATTTCATTATCATCATAGTTGCCGTTTTGTTTTGTTTATTGGATAATTAACCCACGAACGTTGCGTAAAGGTTCGTCATGCATTATTAAAAATTATATTTTATCACAGTCCAGCTTCTATGCGTTGCAAGCGCGTTTCATGTGTGGTAATAATTGCTACCGTTTCGTTTGTTTATTGAATAATCGAGAACATGATTTTGACCCGCAGTTTGCGTCATGCAATATAACCAATTCATATTTTACAATTACAGAAGGAATTTAACTGATTGTCATCTAAACGAGGCTGGGGACAATATGTCCTACAGGCAATGCAGAGCTCGCTAACTTAGAGTTAATTTTATAAATAATATTTGTAAAATACATTCTTCGTTCTCTTCATTTAATTATCAAGATATATATGCAAGAGAAAGCAATACACCTTACCGATTATTCTCTTTTACCCAATGGCCTCGTTTTCATGTCAAATACTTACTCGTGTTTTGTGCTTTATAGTAGGGTTGAAGGTTACATTTGTTATTGAGCCTAAGAACAGCAGGAAACAAATTCTTCCAGGAAAACATGGGAATATAATCTTTATCTGCCCTTGACATGCTAAAATAAGTTAACTTGGAGACGAGGCCATTGGGTAAAAGAGAATAATCTATCTATTGTAATTGTAGTTGCAAAATACTATAGTTATGCTTTCTGACAATTTGTGAAACTCATGAAAGTAGGCTATCTATCATCATTAGTTTGTTCCTAATTAATGTATTCTTGGGGTTTTATGTGAATGTATATACTGGTATACTTATGTCGAATGTTGATTGAATATATTATAGTATGTATCATGCTAGTAATTGACATCATTTTTTTGCTCATTATTAAAACCCACAAACTACGTGAATTTTTGTCGCCCGATTATAAATTATATTTTAACGATGCGATTATAAATTATATTTTTGTGCTATGCGTTGCAAGCGTGTTCATCCCATAGCTAAAATTGCTACTGGTTACTATTTTGTTTTGGATAATTACGATTTACGGACCGCAATTTGGGACTACTATATTGTCGTCACAGATTTAGTGTGGACTTAATCCTGACGCAGAGACATGACTTTCTGCATGAGTCAATTAAATTAACAGTCTTTAATTTGAAATATTTTTATAATCTTCGCCACAACTAAAAGTCAGTGTGTCCGCTTAAAATATTGATTCAGAGTTCAGAATTCTCTAATCGCATGAATATTTTTCTACCAGATTATTCATGTTAACTAGGGCAGTATCAATGTTGATAATGTTTTCTTTATGTATGCAAATTAAAACTGGCCTTACTCATGAAACTAGCCACTTTCAATGTTAATTCATGCAATATATTTTACCTTTCGAAATCTTGATAGCCTGAGGCCCCATTAATGCCACGTCAATTTTATTGAAAATAAAGAGATGCGTAACACATAGTCATGAGCTTTCTTCGCCGGTTTCTCAAAGAGCGGAAAAGCTTTTGACCGCACTCGTTTGAGCTTATATAGGGGTCAATGTATATTTGTATTAACATGAAAAATCAGTAAAAATAATCTATTTAGATTCTGTAACTAAATTGAGGCTTGGACGCTTTCTTACCTTTAAAACGATAAACTTTCCTTCAAGTCTAATTATTCGATTCTTTTTGGTGATATAAGTCCTCGATCTCGTCCTCGATTCTTTCAAAGATAAAATTTCGCCCAGCGTCTCTTGAGCACAGCGACTGTAACCGTGTTTTGTTAATTTTGAATTTCCCAAGCTTTTATGATGGGCAGCGTTGCTATATATCACCGCAGCAACACTCAAAGTCTCTGTGTTGTAATAAATAAAACCACTTAATTTCTTTGTCACTTTCACACAATTAATAGCAAAGCTTTTTCTTTGGCTTCGCTCCTTCTAGAATTCTAGATGTTTCACTTCGTTTTGAGCACGACAATTAAGGTTGAATCCTAGCCCGAGAACTTCACCCGATCGTCTCTCTTTAGTGTTGTATTTTGATCCGGTGTTGCTTGGGCCTTTCGTCACAGAATTCTTATCCAAAGAATAATATATACACGTCGAGATTCAGCTAGGTTCTTTATAACTGTGTATAGGAAAATTCCAATTCTATACCGACTTTAATATGTTCGTTGCGTTTTCAAACAATTCTTATCCAAATTTCTAGAAGGTGAAGTATATGTTATTCCAAGCTTATGATCTTATTTCTAATATGCCAGCACAAAATAGCGTGATGTTTCCTGAGTACCTATCACAAAGCGTCAGTGTTTAACGGAGTTGTGTCGCATTTTGGTCTTTTATAAATAACCAACGCATCATCATATAATTAGCATCGCCTACGCCTGCAAGCGCGCTTCCTGATATCAAGTGGGTAATGGTGGAATTAATTATCCTTAAAGACCTTGTTATTGGCTCAATATTCTCACACGAGGGTGTTACTAAGTAGGTTGTTATGGAGAGGGTTGATTTCTAGTGCAGTGACGCACTTTGGGTAGGTTTTCTCCGGATCACGATTTCCTTCTGCAGTGGTAACAAAGGACAATTAAGGGAATGCTTTTACTGCAAGGAAGAATAGTTCAGAACTGTTACAAGAGATGGACCTCTAGGAAGAACAGTCTAGAACTGACAGAGTTATCCAGTATAAATAAAGTTAGTTTAGTTTGGGTTTCTTCCTGTAGTATACACTGGATCAATAAGAGATGATCCTTACTGGACCTCTAGGAAGAACAGTTTAGAACTGATAGAGTTATCCAGTATAAATAAATAAAGTTAGTTTAGTTTAGGTTTCCTCCTGTAGTAACACTGGATCAATAAGAGATGATTCTTACTGGACCTCTAAGAAGAACAGTTTAGAACTGATAGAGCTATATCCAGTATAAATAAAGTTCAGTTTAGGTTTCCTCCTGTAGTAACACTGGGTCAATAAGGATGGCTAGTTCTAAGTTTTACTGCCTAATGCTGGATCTCCGGAGAGAACAGTTCAGAAATTTCCCACAGACGTTTACATGTTCACAGCTGTTCCTGGATAGGTCTAATAAAATGTATATAAATTTCAACTCGATAATTTCCATCAAAAACACTGTTTATACGTGATGTGAATCCCGCCTTAAAAATAATTCGTCTATGCGCCCATCCGGTGGTGACATATTTCTACACTATAAAAGGTGACATATTTCTACACATATTTCTACACTGCTAAATATAGTCTATCAGGTTTTATTCTGTCTCTTGAGGTCCAGTAACAGATATCCCTCATGACTCCAGTGTTACTACAGGAGGAAACCTAAACTAAACTAACTTTATTTATACTGGATAGCTCTATCAGTTCTAAACTGTTATCTCTAAAGGTCAAGTAAGGATCATCTCTTATTGATCCAGTGTTACTACAAGAGGAAACCTAAACTAAACGGCTAACTTTATTCATACTTGATCGTTCTATCAGTTCTAAACTGTTCTCCCTAGAGGTCCAGTGAGATGTTATCTCTTATTGATCCAGTGTTACTACAGGAGGAAACCTAAACTAAACTAACATTATTTATACTGGATAGCTCTTACTATCAGTTCTAAACTGTTCTTCCTAGACCTAGAGGTCCAGTAATCACGACCAGTCGGTCACATAACTCACATCGTAATTATACTACCCACACAACCATAATGCGTTGGCAGGGCTTGTAAACAAAATTTTTGCTTTGAAGTCTATCCTAATAACTTTGTTTGTGCATCGGGCTTGCGTGGGATAGTTTTTTTCTAGTTTATTCTCGAAAATTTTTCTCAATTCGTGTATGGCTGTCGTTGAGAAATAAAACTATCTGATTATACGGCCATTCCACCTTAGTCGCATATATGAGAGGGGTGCTTCCATTTGACTCAATCAATGAAACACCGCAGACTGCCCCGGGTTTACTTCTGTAAAATCAATGCACTGGTGGATGCCCCCTCCTGGATAACACTGAACCAATGATATAGCGATGTCTTTTACTGGAATCTCTAGGGCGAACATGCAGCTTAGATCTGACTGAACTGCAAGTATCGATTTAAGGTTTCCTCCTGTAATAACACTGGATCAATAAGAGATGATCCTTACTGGACCTCTAGGAAGAACAGTTTAGAACTGATAGAGCTATCCAGTATAAATAAAGTTAGTTTAGTTTAGGTTTCCTCATGTAGTAACACTGGATCAATAAGAGATGATCCTTACTGGACCTCTAGGAAGAACAGTTTAGAACTGATAGAGCTATCCATTATAAATAAAGTTAGTTTAGTTTAGGTTTCCTCCTGTAGTAACACTGGATCAATAAGAGATGATTCTTACTGGACCTCTAGGAAGAACAGTTTAGAACTGATAGAGCTATCCAGTATAAATAAAGTTAGTTTAGTTTAGGTTTCCTCCCGTAGTAACACTGGATCAATAAGAGATGATCCTTACTGGACCTCTAGGAAGAACAGTTTAGAACTGATAGAGCTATCCAGTATAAATAAAGTTAGTTTAGTTTAGGTTTCCTCCTGTAGTAACACTGGATCAATAAGAGATGATTCTTACTGGACCTCTAGGGAGAACAGTTTAGAACTGATAGAACTATCCAGTATAAATAAAGTTAGTTTAGTTTAGGTTTCTTCCTGTAGTAACACTGGATCAATAAGAGATGATCCTCACTGGACTTCCAGGAAGAACAGTCTAATAAATTTAATGTCGTTTAATAAGTCAATAGTGTGACATAAGGTCAATTCTCATCGCAATACTGTCTTATTTTTTACCAGAGAACCTTCAGAAAATGTACTTCTCGACAAATTGATCTGAGAAAACATTTCTCGAGAGTAAGTTTATATATATATTCGTACTTCTAGAACACTAGTTTATTATACGCTTGAAAATTTTGTGATTAATTAACTCCAGGACTTGCTGGGATTTGTCAAAATTAATTTGACAATTAAGTCTGTACTTGTATATTGGTATGCAATCTATATTCAAATCACAATACCTAGACAGGCCTCGGAATTTAGATGGGCAATCGGCAAGTACCGACCTTGATTCCTGTCTATCGTCTTTGTCAGATCGGCAAAAAAATACCGACCTGCAACAATTATACTTGTCTGATATGAATTTAGAGCAAATATGAGC